AACCGTTTACAATGATAAAGTGAGAAGAAGGAAATTATTTTTCTTGATAGGTTTTGATAGGAGAAAGTATGGGGTGTTTTTCTAATGACCATGAAAAACTCTTTCCTTTTAATCTGATGCATGGATTACAGTTTATGTCCTTGCATGGCCAGGTTGTATTTTCCATGAGCATTGAAGATTGTAACCCTCATTATAGCATTTCTGTAATGCAAATGGTTATATATAGAAAGAAATTTAATTAATCCCCTGCTGGTTGGTAGTATACCCTAAAGCAAACAAAATCAGCAATGGAAAAAAATTAAGACGTGTGTGGTACCAGGTCAATGAGTGTCAGTGGAATTTCATCATCTGTGAAATATTAACTTACTAAGTGAAATGTATTTACTGTTATAGCTGTAAAAATATTTGTCTCTTATCCCTACTGGTATGATAGTGAGCCTACCATGCAAGAAAGCCGCGGTCAAAGGCAGTTTCAGGAATCATGCTGTCTGCTCTGGCAGAAATATTGAACATCCTGAAGGTAGTGATGGTTCTCACTTTAATTTGAAAGGACTACGTTTAAGCTGCCATCAGTGCGCACTCTAGCATCCAACTTTGCCTGTGGGTCTGTGCCATATGCGCAGCTTACATATTCAAGGACAAATTACAAGATTGAGAGAAAGTGACAATTTTGAGTGATGGGCTCCTGTTTTCTTTGCGCTTTCTGTTGGAAAGTTATGGGTCGTCTTGTAGGTCAATGAAGAAATAGATTTCCAGACTTTATTTTCATTTCATATAGTGTGCATATGTGTATGCAAAAAGCCAGTGCTCTTTCCACTCCCTGAAACAACTCTCTCTTAAAACATGGTTTCTGTATACGAAAGATCACAATAGAATACATTTTCAGCGTATATGCAGTCAACAATGTATTATGTAAGCAGACAAATCATGTTTAAAATGGTCAATATGTTTTCTGTTTTAGCTTCCTTGCTGCCTCTCCCATAGCAAACATACCTTACACAAGAAAATGATAGGGCCAGTGAGGATCCAGTCCTATTGCAGAACCTGAGCCGTGGTGTTACGGCGTCCAACTGATTTTGTCTGCATAACTTGAGATGACAAGATAAGCGGGAACGATAAGGGGCTCTTTTGAAGGAGGGTATGAGAACTGTCCTTTTATAAATTCCATGAAGCTAAATTTCTTTCTTAAGATTCATTTTTTAACTAGTTGTCTGAAAATCTGCTGCTTCTTTTGTCATGTAGAGATCAGGTTGCACATTTAATAATTATGCCTTGAAATATGGAACTGATGCAAAAAATTAACTTTCAGATCAGTCTGTTCCTGTCATTTAACTACTCCAAGATTTAATACACTTCTTATTTTTCAGTGATGGAGGATCTGTGGCAGTAACTGTTTGTTCCCACTTCCAAAACTTGTGTGAATAATGTGCGACAATCTTCTTTCTTAAATTTTGCATCCTTGTGCTGTTTATCTCTTTGTATAAAGTAAATGCAAAAGGTAGATCTCCATTTCAAGGGTTATATTGTTGACCTAGAGAGCAGGTGGCACAGCGGTTGGCTGAAGTAATGCTCAGGGAGGCAGGTGTTGCTGTCTGAAGAGGCAGTTTGAAATGTTGTACATGCATGTGATGTTCTCATCAGAAAGGTGGTCTTAAATGAAAAATATCCTTAGTATAAACTAAAATATTTACTTAAAAGATTGTTGCTGCACCTTGGAAACAGTATGTCAGACTAGTTAGGCACAGCTCAGCAGTGTTTCATTAGTTATCTTATCTCTTTAAATGGGATTTTTTTTAAGGACGCATGGACCTGTAATGCCAGACTCCTGTGTATGGGTGGGTGGAAGCAAGTCAAGTCACAACACTTCGTTCACCATTTGGTATCTGACGCATCCCCAAATGAGTGTCCTGAAATAGGTCATCAGTTCTGACTGCAGTCTGCTCCCTTCTTGTTTCCTTTTCCAGGCATTTTCTTTCTTCTTCCCCGGGAAGCAACTTTTTAGACAGTAACTCACTGGTGAGTCAGGGAAAGCAAAGGCCACCAGCGCGTGCTCACAGTCATTTAATTTCCAGCTCTGATGCTTTTGCATTGGCCCCTCCAGTCCTGGCTTGGTTCAGAGCATTTTCAGAAGTGCCCTTGCCAGTTGTGCCTTGGAAAAGCAGGCAAGGGAGAGCAGGTGGGAGGAGGGAGCTTGGGATTCCTCCAGGAGAAGGGAAAAATGCTGCAGGGGTCGGGGAGTGGCTTGGTGGATGGCTCACAGGGTTTTGTAAAGGGGATTTTAAGGCTAACAGGAGATGAGGCGTAGTGAAACAACAGGTATAAAAATTGATTGGTTTGACTGTGGTCTTTGCTGTCAAGACCACAGAGGTATTAAATTTGAGCTACTGCCTATTGATTCCACAGCTGCGCTGGCTTTGTCAAGGTGCAGGTACAGACTGAAAGCGATTGCTACGCAGAGAGAATAATATTTATTTCAATTGCATTGACATGTCATCTATAAATACTTTTTTCCTTCCTGGAACTCAGTTGGTCACAGATTTTGAAAGATGATTTCATGAACAAAGCCCAAGTAATTCCTTTTTTAACCCTTTAAGCATTTAATCCTGAAATAGTTTCATTATAGGAAGTATTAAAGCTAATATTACATGAGTAAAACAAGTGTACAGTCTAGGAGAGAAAGCAGTTTGCCAGCTCTTGTTATTGCATCATGATTCCTGTAGTGTTATGTCTGCATCTTAGAGTCACAGTTACTGGAGTGGTGCTGTTTGACAGCAAAGTGTTATCTTTCTAAGTGTCTTTTCAGCCCTAATGACTAGAGCAAAGCTTGTAAACATGCTCAAAGTAAATGGGCTCAAAGGCTTCAAGGTAGATAAAGAGATTTAAAGGTCACAGTTTTCCTTTTTCAGCCAATACCATGAAATTTTAGGGCTTAACACATTCATTTTGAAAATTTCTGGGGTTGACAGTTTTGGAGTAAATGGAAATATGTCATACGAATAGAAGAAAATGCCCTTTGAAATAAAATATAAAATAAAATACACCTTTGTTAACACTGGGTCTTCTTTAAAATGGATAAGTTAAAATATATCTGCTCACATGATGTAAGTAACATGCATATATATGTAATACACATAAACACACATGTATATAATAGTATGTAGTAAATAATTGCATATTATCTCTTCGTTTTCAATGCCAAAAAGCTTTCATTGCTACGTTAGCTTCATAGTTGGAAATTTTAAGTCTTTCTATCAAACGAGGGTGGAAGAAATACCTTTTTAGAATATAAAACACACAACCTGTTATAGATGCTACTGATTTATTATCTTACATACTTGAAATGTTTTGATTAGATCTTGACGAGTTTGTCTGATGATGAGAATTTATTTCTTGATGCTGTAAGCTGTCAGACTTGTGATAATTCACACATGAAATTTGCTCAGTACTGTTAAAGTGCAATGGAATTTCAAGTTGTAGAAAACTCATACTTGAAAATAATAACAAAATGTCTTAGGGTTTTTCTTAAATTCTAGTAACTAGAAGACTTTAGTACCTTTGAAGAACTTTACTGAATAATGTCCAATATATTATTTAACAATCTAACCATTGACAATTCAAAAATAACATTTTTAATTGCTTAAATCAACATGTACTCCATAACTAAATATATGAGTCAGAGGTTAACAGATTTTCATGGATGTTTCTACACTGACTTTTTCAACATTATGTGAAAATACTGTTTTTTTTTTTCTTTTGAGGAAACAAAATACAATACAGGGACCAGTTTCCTGGGAGTCAGAAATTGAAGCTGGCTCCTTACGTGCTTTCCCTTCTGAATGAAAAGCTGAAAATCAGCAGACTAGAATCGGCATGGGAACAGCTTTCAGATCTTGTTAACTTGTGCTGTTCTCCATGCACCGGTTGCGCTGTGCATGGAAAGCATGCACTGATGCACTTGAGCATCCTTGTGAGTCTAAAAAGGAAATTAATTTTTATTTTGCAAGTTTGAAAGAAAATACATTTCAAAAGGCATTATTTGCATTTGATATCAGTAGTAGTGTTTTTTCTTTCCTGCAATATGAGCTTTAGCTGTACGCTGCCCTGCCTTTGACTCAGCTGTAGGGCTTCTGTGGGCTGGTGCAGCGGCGCTGAGCGGGGGCCTGCTCCCACCTAGCGGCTCCCGGCTAAAGCGCAGTGCAGAGCCTCCCCTGGGACCGGGAAGTGCCGAGGTGGCAATGTGAGGTGGAAATTGAAAAAGGAAAAAAAAAGAGGGGGGAAAAAAAAAAGAAAAAAGAGATAAAACAACCAGCTGTTTTTTGTCTCGTTGCTGAACTCACCACAATCTAGGCTTTGTGCATACTCGTGGTTTATTTACTTAAAATAAAAATTATGGTGCCTTAAAATTCCCAATCTTCCTTTGTTTTTGCCACTTAGATGCAAAATGCTGATTCTAAGTGGGAGCTGTGTTTCTCTGGCCTTGCCTTTTCAGTGATAATGTACAATACAAGTAATGTGTATTTTTGAGGGGGCAGGGAGGAAGGCAGTTGCGTTAATTTTCCTTTTGGTGAGATTATGAGAACATGCGTGCAAGCAGATGCTAGGCATATTGCAGGCCACTGCTGGAAGTGGCTCGTGTATGATGCTGATGAGGTATGTAGGACAGAATTAATTACTGACTTATCTGCCTATGCTTAGACTTGAATCTCAAAGTTGTATGTGCTCCGTTGAGCGCTTAAATAGTTTTGTGACTGCAAAGGCAGCATTCAGACGAAATGAATAGCTTTTGTATCCCAGGCTGCTGTGCTGTGAATGGGGGGCAGTTTCACCTCTCACATGCTGCATGCGCTACACAATTATAAACCGAGCATGCATTCAGAAATTGCCAGTTTAATATTAGTTTAGCCTTGGTCATTTACTGGTAAATAGCTGAGTAATGCACGATAATGTGTAATATTAACTCTAGGTTTTCATTCTTTTCTTTTTTTTTTTTTTTTTTCCAGAAGGAGCTCAGTCTCCCCAGAAGAGGAAGCTTGTAAGTATAATTATTCTTCATTCATTACTTGGTTCCTTTTAAGCATGCGTAGCTCTGGAGTTGTGGAGATGCCATAAATGGGCGGATACACCAATTTCTCTGTTAGTGTTTTAAAGCATCTGTCATGCACCTGGAAACTGCTAGCTCCTATTGCTCTGAGATTAAAGCCTCTATTCGTTTCCTGAAGCATAGTAGGAGAAGGAGTAATAGTGTAAGCTTACTTCTAATTAGCAGCTTGAGCTGATCCTGATCTGGAAGGAGCCTCTTATAAAGAAGTTGCAGTCACCGGTGTTGCTTGCACTGGCACCATGGAACTGATTCTGCACGAGTTGCTGATTATTTGTGTGATATGAACAACTTCGATCGCTGCTCTTCAAGCAGTCTGTGTTGACACATATCTAAGTAGACAATTGCTGGCCCATGCAGGTGTTTGTGGAACAATTAGTGTAATAGAGAGATTTCCGCAAAGTAGCAAAGGATGAAAAAATAGACTTTTAAAAAGGCAGTTTAAACCAACAGCATTTTTCTAATATTATACTTCTTGCATCATGATGTTCAGTGTTTTAGTGAAGTAACTGTGTTTTTTATGATGTGATGAGAGAGCTTAGCTTCTGCTAAGCTTACAGATTTCTGGTGGAATAAAATTACAGTATTGGTTGCATAGCATAAGAAAAAGTATTCATGCTGGTGGTAAGCTGCTATTGTATTTTGATTTTAAATTGTTTCTAAAAGCTTGTATATTACAAATATGAAGCTCACAAAAACACATAACAATTCTTCCTCAGGTTTCTGGTTTTAATGAGAATTAATTTTCAATTTTCTAATGTAAGCTCTCTCCTTTGTATAAGAGGCAGTGTTTGGAAAATGCTGTGTGGTGCCAGTGATTCAGTGCTGAACAATACAGTGGATCAAAAGGCTTTTTAAATGAGGCATGACCAAACCTTTTTTTAGTTCAGTTCATATGACAATGTTAAACCAGTCACTGAGTTATTTAAAGCAGAACATGGAACTCTCACTAATTTATTTAGCAGTGTGCCTTCAGTGCTAGCTTAACTATATTTGATAGATTTTTATGACCAGTGGTGTTCATAATCTGAAGACTGTGAAGGTTATTGGAATACAACCCAGGTATAAGTGAATGGTGGAGTACTGAGTTACCAGTAGGTTTTTTTTTTTTTCATCTAAATTTGTACAAAACTTTTGCAACTGAAATTGAGGATGCCAAAGGTTTTTACTTTCCTTGGTCAAGCGTGGAGGTGGGTATGATGCAAAACTACTCATGAATGTGCATTTGAATTATTTGAGATACAAATGAAGTACTTCAAATGTATAATGTTTTATTTAGTAGTATAGTAACTGAATAAAACTGAGAACTACTGAATATTTGAGCTGTAGTACCACATTGCTTTAACATACTGAGTTTTCATGGTTTCACTTGCATCTTCTTCCATGAGTGAGTGCCAGTTAAGCCATTGTTATGTGAAGAAATTTAACTGTGTCCAGGCCCCAAATTTTAAGTGTGTACCCAGGCCATAAATTTTAAGCACGAGGTTGCCGCGAAACTGAAAATCTATGAAGAACGGAAAGGTGTTCGGTCAGCTTCAGGCATTACCTAATTGATGGATTAATTGTTTTCTGGAGTTACAGATTCTGTTGTTCATGTCTACCAAATGATTTTTGTTTGAAAAGTGTAAGTATTTAACAAGTCAGTACTGCATTGTGGCTTATGTATCTCTCTGTTGCTGCCTTTCTAATTAGCATATAGACTCGCTGAAAAGCATCTTATGGAGCTGATGCACAAGATTTACATATCACTATATCAGAGTGCTTAGTTTATTAAAAAATAATCTGCCGTTACTCTTTGAATGAGGAATTAGAGAAATTCCTATCAAGGAAGGCTGTAATTATAAATCGGTTAAACCATTCTTGTCAAAAAAAAGATGGCCTAGCAATGTGTGCTTAAATGTAGACTGTACGCTGTTCTCAATTCTTCTGGAGGCTTTTCCGATGCTTGAATCGAGTTAACAGAGAACTTTATATGGTTTAAAAAAGAAGAAAAAAGAAAAAAGGAAATAAAATTTATTCAGAAAAGATAATGTATTGCTGTAGGTAATGGATAGGGGTAGTTATGGATGCAGCTAGGTTCGGATTCACTGACTGTCATTCATTGACTTTATTCGCTGGCAGAATTAGGAATCGGCAGATGGATAAAGTATCTGGCTTGGAGCCAGAGATCCTCAAGAGGTGCATCCCTTTTCTGCACCCACCCCAGCCTTTGCTTGGCATTCAGTAGCAATTCTAGTATAGAGAAGCACAGAGCCACTCTGCATTTACCTGGGTGCTAGTCTGGAGCCTGGGATGCATTAACTGCTCTGAAAGGGTCGTCTTTGGGGAGGAATGGTCTATGTTTTCCGGCAAGCCAGAGGCTGAAGGAAGCCTTGATATAGCTGGCAGTGGTTTTGACTGCCTTTTGAGTTAGACCGGTCTTTGACTGTGGATTAGTTAGCGCGTTTATCTCTGCTGAAAGGAGAAAGGAGAGTGCTTCCTGACAGTGCTTCTAAATTTTTCTTTATTCGGCTTTCATCACTTCATATTTGCCTGGATCAGCATGAGTAGTCCCTATTTTTGTACAGGAATTGATTGTAGGCCTGGGCAACAGCCGACATTGCCCTTGCTTGTACTGTGCAAAAGAAGTGGAGTTGGACACCTCAGTATTTTTAACCAGAGAGCCTGAGTTTTGCCCCCTGAAGAAGGTCTCCTGTCCAGCCTGAGGAGGGTGCGTGGTAGGATGGGTGATGAGCAGCTCCTCCTCCACGGCAGCAGCAGAGACCGTGCGCACAGCCTTGGGTGATGGCTCTGCTCGTGGAGCAGAGGACCTTACCATTTATTTAAAAAGCAATCTGCACAACACGAGGTGTGGCAATTCTCTGCAAGGTGACATTAAGAAGAATGCCTAATTATTGAGATATTGTTTAGTTGTCAGTGTGCTTACATTGCATTTGTGTGGGGGGCCTGTGTTTAACACGCTGAAGGAAATTGTGTTTGTCTTGAGTTGTAGGCTGCAAAGAGTTTGAATAATACAAGCATTAGAATGTAATCAGTTGTTCCTGTTTTCTCTCTGGTGTGGTTCAACAATCTACGTTCAGAGTTTTCCGTCAATAAATGATGCATATAAATGTATTAGATATGTTTGCCCCATGATTTTGTTCACAAAATATAATTACCATTCATGAATGTTTTCTGTTATTTCAAATAGCGACTCTGAAACGATAGACTCAAAACTTTGATCTCCTTCCTATTAGGATGTGATTTAATTATTTGCACCCGCTACTCTAATCTGTTCTTTTGGTGCTAGTGTACATAGACATTGTTTTTTGGCATTGTTGGCTTCAGTTTACAAAGGGTTTTGATGTGCACCTGCATGTGAGGTACACTGGAGACGTTCCAGTCTCGCGGACCGCGGAGCGTGGTGAGGCTTGGATGAAGCGGTTGTGCAGTCACGTATATAACAGCACCTTAGCATCCAAAAGACCAGGCTGTAAACTGCAGAGTTTCAGTGTGGTTGCAAGATGCACAACACAAGGTGCATCACTATAACTTCTGATCATCTCCTTGGCTAATTGCTAGTCACTAAATTTAGTTGGGGTTGCATTTGAGCCATCTGCTTTCTTACTTGGTGTCCCATTTTTAAGAAATTCAGTTGTTTATAATAAGAGCTTTATTGACCTGTTCAGTTTTTTGTGTGAAGAATATGGATTTATATCTGAGATCCTCATGATTTCTTTGACAGGGTTTCTAGCTTGGATTGCTGTAATCCTTGTATTATCTAGAAGTAAAATTATTATAGTCCAGAATATTTATATGCAGTTAATTTTTTTTTTTCCACAACAAGCAGCGTTTTGGTGATATTGAAGATACCTGTCATCAAAGACCAAATGCTTGCCTTGCTATGTAAGATTAATTACAGTGTGATACAGGAAGAAAAAAAGTATCATAATTAAATAATTCAAATACTGCAAGCTGCTATTTTGTTGGTGATAGGTGCTGGTATGAAATAACATTTACCTTAAGTTTTTATGTCTGTCTTCATGAAATGTGTTAAACAGCATAATACTGTTTGACATGTATGTGCAAGGCTGCTATGGTAGTCTTAATTCCTTTTAATCTCTATTTACTGTAAGACATTTCAGCCCACTATGGAGCTCGTTGTCTCTCTTGTTCTCTTTCATTTCCTCTCTTTTAAAGCCTCCAAAGCTCCTGAGTGTCTTCAGCCCTAGACATTTCATAGGATGCTTCATTAAACAGGTTTTAGTAATATTTTATATTTACCCCAGGCTTCCTGACAGTAAAATAGCATATAAACACACACCAAGGACGTTTGTTGGGAGGATATGCTGAATACCAGTTCATTTCGGCTTCTAGTTGTGCTGAGTTTAAACTGTGGTGCTTGGACCTCGGCAATGACAACAGATTTGATGGCAGGAAAAAATTTTCCGGACTTCAGTACTAGTTTCTTTATGCTGCCCTGCTGAGGTGCCAAAAAATCAAAAATAACCTGGTGCTGTTAAGCCCACGTGTGGGGCTGGCTCTGGAGTTCCTCCCACAGGGCTCCACAGTAGCTTTCCTGTTGGTATATTAGGCTTTAACAATCATTTGAAAGTACAGTTTTTATAAAAAGAGGTAATTCAGTGAATGAGGATTTTAGTGTTCTGGCTGTATTGTAATATCAGAGATGAGTTTATGAAGGTTTTCTGCAAGGATTTAGAAGTGAGAAAAGCATTTTTAATACTGGATTTTCACTGCTTAATCCAGAGTCTTGTTTCAGCACCGTAATAAAATTCTACCCAACAAATACGAAGGATCGCACTGGTGCTTTCTGTTGCATGTTGCACTTGCTTTCTCTGAAGGGCGACTGGTGGTGTGAGGAAGAGCCACCTAAGAAAGCAGAGTCTCTTGACTTTCTGGGCTATTTTTTGAGATGGACGATTTGTTTTTGTTAA